AAAAAAAAAGATTTTCTCTCTCTCTCTCTCTGTATATATTATATTTCAAGCAAATAGCCAATGATGTGAAATAGATTTGAAATATATATAAAAAAAAGTAAATTACAGTAAAAATCTAGTTAAAATAATACATTTATGATTTCTACTTTATTTCACTCAAATAACACAAGGAAGAATTTTTATATTATTTAAGCTTTATTTATAGGTAACAATTTTAATCTACATGGCCTTAATATTTTACTAAAAGCAATTTAAAAAATGCCAAATAAAAAACATTTCTGAGTAATGACCAAAGAATTCAGTTTGAATTTTGAACTGATTCATTAAAACAAACAGATTGAAAGAACTATTTCATGTAAATTATTCAAACATTTCCAACGTTTAAATTGAGCAAGTCATGACACACGTCTACTCTTAAAATAGTTAGTAAAATAAAAATGAATAAACTGTAAATATTTCATGCATCACCCAGCCCTACTTATGTGTGTGTGTGTGTGTGTGTATATGTGTATGTATATGTGTATGTGTGTATGTATGTGTGTGTGTGTGTGCATATGTGTATGTATATGTATGTGTGTGTGTGTGTGTGTGTGTGTGTGTGTGTTATGTTTCTGTATGTTTATGTAAAAATAGCATTAGTTCTCTGAGTTGTTACGTTTTAGGGCCATGTAACTTTCTTTCTTTCTTTCTTTCTTTCACATTTTAAATCATTCAACCATAAATTCTGGGGTTTTCAGAAAGATACAACATGTTTATAGCATATGAACCACAGACCACTTCATGGACTATTTTGTGAAATATCATATAGTTTCATTTTATTGCACTGCTCCTTGGACTTGATTCCAATATGTCAATAGTGGCATTCAGCATTTATATTTCATAATATTGACATAAAGCTGCATGATCGACCATTGTCCCGGTCAATCGATTTTCTACACAGCTGTGCAATTTTGATTTGTATCATCAATATTCCATATTCATGTATTTGTTCATTTGACAGGAAGTTGTGTAATAAGTAAGATATTATACAATCAGATGATCATTATCACAAAAAAAAATCTATATTTTATTTAGCAAAACTGGTTTATTTTTCAGTAATAAATCTCTCTTTTGACATTGTTCATTATGTATCACACCTTTGAATGTTTTCTCAGATGACATGCACGTCTTTGCTGTAGTCACACTTGCTACGTTTGGAATAACACACTACCATGCTACTCTTCTGCAGTATTCAGCACAGTATTTTCTGTATGCATGGAATTTCAGAAGAACCTGCAACGTTAGTCAAAATTTAGAGGAATACTGTATCCCACAATGCAATGCTCTCAAATTGACCTTCCATTTCGAGTGTGACAGATGAACTGGAAGTGACTTCAGTCTTGACCTTTACAGCTGATCTGTTTGTTGATTTCTTATTTGATTAGTCTGACAAATCTTCATATATTTTATCATTTTATTTTATTACAAGATTGAATATTTTTTGTTCCAAGGTGCGTTCAAGTCCTCTTGGGAAGTTCATATTTACATGTTGAAAAGTCTTAATTACGACGTCATGTGCATTCAAGTCACTTTGATCGGAGTAAGATGGCAATGCACCTTTTCTACAAAAAAAATAAGCAAGATTTTTACCTCTACTTCTACAAAATGATGAATAAAGAATGGGCATCTGTGTTTTTTTTTTTTTTGCGATTTTCTAGGCCGATATGGCTAAGAACTATACTGTCATTCCAGCGTAATAATCAAGGAACTTTGCTGCCGTACCATGATATGATATTACGCAGCGCCTACTGATTCGTTTCCTGGATTTGAAAACGGTAAAACTCAACTGTTTAACTCTAGGGGAGTTGGAAAATGAGCCTATTTTCAAAAATAGTGGAGTGTTCCTTTAAATGGTTATGTATTCTATCATTATTGCATACTATCGTATTTTGCACATGCAGCTTTGCTATTTTTATTGTAAATAAAAAAAAAAATCTTCAGATTTATCATCAATACAGGCGCTGGATTCATTGTGTCTGACATGTCAGACATGCCCCCAATTTGGAAACTCAGAGCTTAAAGAAAGTTTTCTGATAATTAAAAATAATGTGGTGTCATTTATGTGCATTGATCTCATAAATACGATCTTTCCAACGCACCATAACTCCACACCTCTTGCTGAATTAAACAAGCAACATCATGTGACAACAATGTAGCACACTGCTTTTGGAGACATTTATAATGGCGTTGTGTTTTACAGTACATGCTAAGTAGGAATTATACAGTACCTACTGCACACTATTTAGAGTTAGTAAGCTAGTATTCCATTCTGAACATGGCCATTGTCTTATCTACTCGTTTCATTGTGTTACCGATTGTTCACAAGTGTTTCATTGTGCAAGTTCAGCAAAGAATCTCAAAAACAACTTTTTGACAGTGATTCACATTTTTACGTCTCATTCTACAACTATTGTCTAAACCGTTCTGGCCAGGCCGGCTGTACCTATTAAGTCGGACAGCTCTCTATCTCCCGTCCTCATGGAGTGCCTGATGCTTGTGTAGATTTGCATTTGAAACGCTTCTCCTTCACACAAAGACCTTGCAGCTGCCTCGCTGCAATCTGCAAGTGAATGTAGTGCAGCCGTCCCCCAACAAATGCATTGAGAAAAGGTGTGTGTACTGGGCTGAAAATGTTTCAGAGTTGATGGTTATCATTCAGACTGCTTCAGTGTTTGAGGCCTGTACTGTAACCAGCCGTGCTGCGTGTCACTTGCTGAGTTGTGTTCTTTCGGTACAATGATGTAAAACAATGAGCAGAGGGTAAACTGACAGTGCCATTTTGCTGGCTCTTTTGCATAGGCTTTGACATTTGTGTTTGCAGAGCTGGAGCAGAGAGCAAACACTCGCAGGAATTGCTCTGTGGGCTGCATGCAAGCGAGTTGTTTTGAATTTCAGCTGTTGGTGCATGTGTGTACATGCATGTGGGTTTCACTGTGAGCTGTTTCACTTTGTTCCATTTCCTCCTGTGTGTCTTCAGAGCATAACCTTGATGTGAGAACTCATTTGTATTCGATCAATAAAATCTATAAAAGAACAGTCTATAAAAGTTTATATTTTAATGTGTACATATATTACATTATATATTTTATTTAAAATGTAATATATATGCATGACCATTTTTATTGTATTTATAATGTGTGTGTGTAAATCATCATGCAAATATTAAATCATATATATTATTTATAATTTAAATTGAAAATTTTTAAACAAAAAAGTTTGAGTGTATTCTGCATTACAATTGTAAAGTCAGTTTTTTAATAATAATTATATATAATATTGTAAACATGTATAATATTTAATAATACTATTATTGTCATTGTTGTTATGTTATTTATTATTCTATTGATAAAATATATTAATAACTATATATATAGTTTGA